TTCCTGCTGTTGCGAATTTATAGTGGCAGAAGTGACAGCAGGCTTGTGTGGGACGGACGGGAAGGTGAGGATTTGGCTCCGGCAGCCGCTGTGCCTCGTTGAAACACAGGGGAGGCGTTCTAGGTAGAGGGTTTTGGCTTTCTCCTGCTCGCCCACATGTTCTTGATTGTCTTGCAAAGCGAGGGCCGCGCGGCTTGTAGCCGCCGGGCCTCGCTGCTTCCCCTTCCCCCGGCTCCGGGCGGCTTCCCCCGGCGAGGGCGGCTGCAGAGCGTTCCCTGCGCATGCGCAGGGGACGCTCTGTCACTTTCGGGGGGATTTACGTATCCCCCCGATATTTTTTTTAACTTTTAAGATTTTTGTGCACACCTGGGGACTGCCCCAAGGGTGCACGAAAATCTCCCTCCCCCCCAGGTGCCCTCGATGCGCGGATTTAGGTATCCGCACGCACGGGGGTGACTTGGCTATTAGATATATAGATAAAATGGTAAAATGGGCAAAAAACTTTGGACATGACATAAATATTGAACAATGGGAACAAAAGGTTTGAAAGTTACCTCAAGTTCTAATCTTGAGAACTTTTATAAGATGATTTATCATTCGTATGTCTCCAGAGAAATTGTCTAGAATATACAAAGGTACTTCTAGTTTATGTTGGAAATGTAATCATCACGAAGGGGGATTTTATCGTATGTGGTAGACTAATATACAATTGAAACAAGAGTTCTTTTTGTTAGGATTAACAGGCAATCGGTTGGAAAGAAGTCATGGAACTGTATTTCTATATATGACTACAGCAGCAAGAATATTATACGCACAGAAATGGAAGTGTCCGACAATACCGACAACGGAATGGTTGGAGAAGATGTTGGACCTTGCAGCAATGGCTAAACTTACTGCGTTGGTTAGGGAAAAGACAATTAGTTCGTTCATTACGGACTGGAAACTCCTTATTGACTTTTTGCAGGAAAAAGACAATAATGACTTGATGATTTCTGGTTTTGATGATTAAGACATTACAAAAAGAGAGAGTTCTAAAAACTTTGTACACAAACTTATATTTGTTGCAGAGAAAATTGGAAGCCTTCTATTTTATGTGTGTTCTTTCTTTGTCCTTTCTTTTATTTTCTCAAAAAAAAACTAACATTGGGGGGGGGAACATGAGAATCAGGGAACTGTGCAGCCTTTGGTGTTGGGTGGCTCTGATCTCTTTAAGAGGCGAAAAAACACAGGATGAAGCAGGTTTGTGGTTGATGGGGTGCATCCTTCAAGCCCCATACCAAAGGAAGACGATCCCATGGTCTTTCCCTCCCACCATGACCCCTTACTTACCTGCGGTGATTGCATCGCTGCTGTCTCCATCCCATGACATAAAGGAGGGGATCCAGAACGTGACAAAGATGTCATTCCAAGAGGACAGGAAGACGTTTAGCTTTCAAATGTGTTTTGGACATTCCTCCTCTGTGTAGAAAGCATCCAAAGTTGCTTCCAGGTCCTGTCTCTGTTCTAGAAAGACCCAAACAGCAAGAGTATCCACAAATGCCCGGGCTCTCTTTCTTCCAGTCCCGCCTTGTGCCACTGCCTCTGTACCGGAACAGGCCTTCCCCTCCCGGCTCTCCTTCAAATCTCTCCCCTGCCCCTTCTTTGGCAAAACCTGTCTTTGCCCACCAAAGATTCACCTTCAAGCTAAAGGAGCAGAGAGTTAAAGCCTTACAAGAACTTTGGCAAAATTTTACAAAACACATAAGCGGAGGGGAGGGGGAAGGGGGGCTGATTTAAAGCATTTTCAAGGCAAAAGATGAACAGAGGTGGTTTGCCACGGCCTGCCTCTGCGTAGCAACCCTGAAGAGCCAGATTTAAGTCCAAGAGAACCTAAGTGACCAGGAAGAGAAGAAGACGAGATTGGATTTATCCCCCGCCCTTCACTACCCAAAGGAGTCTCAGAGCGGCTTACAAACTCCTTTCCCTTCCCCCTCCCCGCAATAGACACCTTGTGAGGTAGGTGGGGCTGAGAGAGCTCTGACAGAAACGGCTCTTTTTCAAGAACAGCTGTGCCAGAACTACAGCTTGCCCAAGGTCATCCAGCCAGGTGCAAGTGGAAGAGTGGGGAATCAAACCCAGTTCTCCCAGATCAAGAGTCCCCGCACTTAACCACTACACCAAACTGGGGATTTTCAGGGTATAAGCATTCCAGATTCAAAGCTCCCTTCCCTACTTCGTGTCTGAGATCTGATGAGATTGGTCAGGGCCAATAGTATCTCCCCCCCCCCCCGCAAAAAAACACAACAGTAATTCAGGGGGTTTTATTATTTATTTAGGTCCTGAACTACAGTTTACTTAAGTCTGTGCCTCAATCCAGCACTGAGCCAAATCTCCCTTTACAGGGCAACAAAATGTAGAATTAAACCGAAGTCTTCCTGGGCACCTGAAAGGCTACTTCTGCAGGGATGTACTAAAAGGAAGGACAGGATTGCCCATTGGAAACAATGGGAGACGCTGGAAGGCCCATTGGAAATAATGGGAGCCAGGAATGCAAATTGACTTGCATGGACTCCATTGGAAAACATTAGGGTACAAGTAGAGTTGCAATAAAAATGCGGAATGGATTTTCCATTAGGTCTCTGGGCCCAAATACACTACTCTGGGGATGGAATGAGAGACCACGGAGTGGAATGACAGCCCCTGGGAGTAACAGAAGTGTTCTGGGACTGGGATGACAGCTCCCATGGTTTCCAATGGGCCTTCCAGCGTCTCCCATGGTTTCCAATGGGCCTTCCAGCGTCTCCCATTGTTTCCAATGGGCAATCCTCTCCTTCCTTCTAGTACATCCCACTTCTGCAGCAATTTCAGTCGGCTGGGCCTCTCCAATGATCAGGCTAAAGTTTTTTGGGGGGACGGTGCTTCCGGAATAGAAAAGTGCCTCCCCCCCCCCCTCTCTCTCTCCCCGGCACACCTACGTCCGAACAAGTCCACCCCCCAGGCAGTGTGTGCCTCTCAAAGCATACAGAATTTTGCCACCGCAAGAGCAGCTCCTCCGGCTCCCGTGGATAGCGGGATTGCCTGCCTGAAGCCAGGTCAGCTACACCGACCCTCCACGTTCAGAGGCAGTCTACTTCTGAATAAGAAGAAGGGAGGCCTGCTGCCCTCCTGCGCTGCTCGGGGGAAGGATCTGGGCGTTGGACTCAGTGGATCTCTGGGGCCCCATCCGGCAGGGATGAGCTTCGGTCCCGAGGACCGTTGTTGCAACCCAGGGCCGGATTTAGACTTGCTGAGGCCCTAAGCTATACAAAACCCAGAGGCCCCCTACTGTTTTAAATTACATCAGCCGGTCTCAGAAAAATTTAAAATATATACGCCTTTTTAATCATTTTTTATATTGTGTTTTTATTCGAGGCCCCAGCAGATTGCGAGGCCCTAAACTGTAGCTTATTTAGTTTATGCGTAAATCCAGCACTGTTGCAACCGTACTGCGCGCATCGGAGGCCGGCCGCTTTGCAGGAGGCGCTTTGGAAAACCCTGACCACCGGGGAGCCTGGCTGGTTTGCTCCCACCCCACCCCCGCGGGAAATCTTTGGGGGTCCCCTACCCCTCTCCTCCCTCCCACCCCTTTGCACCTATTCCGCCCCAGCAGTAATTTTTGGAAACTCACGCCGTCAATTTCCTTTTCCCAGCCGGCCGGAGCAGGAAGATGCATTCTTTGCAACGGCACACGCACCTACACACCCCTCTCTTCCCCCTCCTCGCCAAATTTCCTGCCTCTCTAGGACTCAGAGGGCTCCTTTAATTTAACCATTGGAGGACTCGCTTGGAAGACGTTCAGGGAAGAGCTGCAGCCCAGGTGCCTGAGACTGCGTGATAGGATGGATGGAACCGTCTCTGTGTTTTCCCATAGAGGAACGGTGGCTTTGATAAGAAGAAGCGTGTTTTGCACAGGAAAGCTCGTACCTTGAAGAAAACTTGGTTGGTCTTAAAGGTGCCAGGCCTGGCAACCAGTGTTCCCTCTAGGCTGAGTTAGTGTGAGCCAGCTCACAGTTTTTTAGCCTCCGGCTCACACATTTTTGTCTGAGCTCAGGAAGGAGGGCTCCAGAGCAAACTAATTCATCCAGTAGCCCAGGGGTCATTTCCTGCAGGAGCGCACAGAAGCGGAGCTCCGGCAGTAAAGAGCCCATGGGGCGGGCACATGCAACAAGCCCCACCCCCTGCTCCCAGCAGCCCTCAGTCAGAGCAAGAAGCAGCCAGGTAAGTTGCAGAGCCCCCCCCCCCGGCCCCCAACAGTCCAGTGGCACCTTTAAGACCAAGTTTTATTCAGGTATTAGCTCTCCCTCCTCTGCGAGGACAGATCTGCACGTTCCCCCCTCCCCCAATAGCTAGGAATCCAAAACAGTCCAGTGGAGCCTGAGCGGTGGGTGTTGCCTTCTGACACACGTCCGGTGATGTCAGGGGTGTGTGGCATATGCAAATAAGTTATGCTAATGAGTTATGCTAATGAGCTCCTGCACTTCTTTTTCTACGAAATGACCCCTGCAGTAGCCAAATCACCTGCTCGCAACTTTACTGCCAGGAGCTCACAAAGTAGAATTTCTGCTCACAAGACCCCACAGCTTAGAGGGAGCATTGCTGGCAACCCTAGAAATAACCCTATATCGGATCTTGTTGGGAGGTTCAGAGTTGGATGCCACCAATATGCAGATGACATCCAGCTCTTCATACCCGCACACCACACACACACACACATTTGCACCCAGAAGAGGATTCTCACCAGTGTTCCCTCTAAGCTGAGTTAGTGTGAGCTAGCTCACAGTTTGTTAGCCTCTCGCTCATACGTTTTTGTCTTTGCTCAGGAAGGAGGGCTCCAGAGCAAACTCATTTATGCAGCAGCCCAGTCTCTCGCTCACCACTTTAGTGCCAGTAGCTCATAAAGTAGAATTTTTGCTCACAAGACTCCACGGCTTAGAGGGGGCACTGCTCCCCCCCTTTCTGAGCCTGCAGGGACCTTTGGAATTTTGGCACAGAGCGGTGGGCACAGCCCCAAAACAGAGTCTGCGGGAAGCAAAGCCCAGCCTTACGACGGCTGCCGCAGCTCGCCCTCAATCACAGAGTGAAGATCCTTCCGCTGTGGTGGCAGCCCCTTCCAAAGCAACCTTTTAAAAAAATCACTTGCTCACAACTTTTACGGCAGTAGCTCACAAAGTAGAATTTTTGCTCACGGGACTCAGAGCTTAGAGGGTGCACTGATTCTCACATGACTTTGTTGACCCCCACCCACCCACCCACCCCCACCCCAAGGCATCAGTGTAACAAAGCAGGCAGAGAGATGGTTGGCTGCCCCAAGAAGGCAGTGGCTTCCATTTGTCACCCCAGGGGTGGCCAGGCAGCATTTCAGAAGGGGCAATACTAAAAACGAACAAACAAAACCAGCCCAAGCTAATAAACTTTACTGCACAGCACAAGCTGGCAGAAGTCTTCATCTAGCCTTGAGATGATTCTGCTTAATGCTCTCGGTCTCTTCAGAGACTGCCGTTGGCGATGGAGACAGCCCCTTCGCCCACCCCAGCAGTTAGGTAAAGGTAAAGGTCTCCCTTGCTCGAAAGCCAGTCGAGTCCGACTCTAGGGTTGCGGTGCTCATCTCCGTTTCCAAGCCGAAGAGCCAGCGCTGTCCGAAGACGTTTCCGTGGTCATGTGGCCGGCATGACTAGACACCAAGGCGCACGGAACGCTGTCACCTTCCCACCAAAGTGGTCCCTGTTTATCTACTTGCAATTTCTTGCTTTCGAACTGCTAGGTTGGCAGGAGCTGGAACTAGAGACAGGAGCTCACTCCGTCATGCGGCACACCCGGGTCTCGAACTACTGACCTTCCACAGCCTGCAGTTCAGCGTCTCAACCACTTGAGCCACCAGCAGTTACTCAGCGATAAATGCCACCAGTCATTGGCAGTGATGGGGCTTCTCCTCTTCCCAGCGATGATTCTTAAAGCAAAGATAGGTGTCTTTTGTGGTCTGGCTTTATCATCTCTGTATTTACTTCATCTATACCCCACTTTCTCCCCAGTGGGGACCCTCCTCTTCTCCCCTTTACCCTCCCAACAACTCTGTGAGGTTTACAAAATTATGCCTGGGATAGAGAAGGTAGAGAAAGAAGTTCTTTTCTCCCTTTTCCCCCGTACAAGAGCTTGTGGGCACTCAATGAAACTGATGAGCAGTAGGCTTAGAACAGATAAAAGGAAGTACTTCTTTACCCAAAGAGGAATTAATGCTAGGAATTCATGGCCGCAGGGAGTAGTGGCGGCTACAAGCATAGACAGCTTCAAGAGGGGACTGGATGAACATGTGGAGCAGAGGTCCATCAGTGGCTCTTAGCCACAAGGTATGGATGGAACACTTATGACTGGGTCAGTGTTGCTCTGTTCTTGGTGCTTGGAGGGGCCACAGTGGTAGGGCTTCTGGAGTTCTGGCCCTGCTGGTGGACCTCCTGATGGCAGCTGGGTTTTGGCCACTGTGTGACACAGAGGTTTGGTCTGGATGGGCCATTGGCCTGATCCAACATGGTTTCTCTTACATTCTTATGTCTGGGGCAGTGATGCTCTGTATTCTTAGACTGGATGGGGCACTGGCCTGATCCAACACGACTTTTCTTATGTTCTTATGACTATATCCGGGAGCAGGCCCACCCCCATTGCCAAACTTACCTGGGAGTCACAGGATGCTCACATGAGAACCCATGGCACCAGCAATGGAGTAGCCCATCAAAACAGTGACGATAAAGAGAATTGCAGCAAGGCAGTCGGGGCCATTGAATGCCCCACCTCATCCACACCCACCAGCTGCCAAGCTAGCAAGAGGCAGGAATACTGCAATATAGCCGTAATACAGTATGGAAAGGGCCCCGCTTCAGTCACTGGTCAGGGTAATTGGAAAAGAGGCAGCAGGTGAGGGTTACCAACCTCCCACACTCCAAGCACTGATACAGTTTCTCCCTTGTCTGAATTCTCCGATGGGAAGTCAGGTGCATTGTCCGGCTAAAGCTTTTTCCACACTCCAGACAATTATAGGGCTTCTCCCTGTGTGGGTTCTTTGATGTGCAATCAGGGATGTGCTGCGTCTGAAGCTTTTTCCGCACTGATACAGTCTCTTTCCTGTGTCCAGTCTTTGGTGTGAGGTAACACTTGTGCTCAGACGGAAACTCTTCCCACACTCCAAGCACTGAGAAGGTTTCTCCCCCGTGTGCAGTCTTTGATGTGAAGCAAGGTGAGTGCTATGACAAAATCGCTTCCCGCACTGCAGGCGATGAAAGGGCTTCTCCCCTGTGTGCATCCTTTGAAGGGAAGCAAGGCTTGTGCTTTGAGTGAAGGTCTTTCCACACTCCAGGTGTTTGTATGGTTTCTCACCTGCGTGAATCCTTTGATGCACTGTGGGGTTTGCGTTTCAACTAAAGCTCTTTCTGCACACCAAACGCCCATATGGTTTCTCACCTGTGTGGGTTCAGGAGTGTGTCTCCAACTTTGATTTACAACTGAATATTTTTCCACAGGAAGGGCACTGATAGTTTCCCTTCCTTGTGAGATACTCTTGATTTTTTTTTTGATTTTTAAAAATTTAACATTCGGTTTATATACCGCTCAGACCCGAAGGTCTCAGAGCGGTTTACAGGTATGGTGCAAGTGCAAGTTACTCCTATACTATGGCCACATATATTGCAGGGGGTGGGGCAGCCTACCGGCACCCGAGTGGTGGGATAGTTGTTCCCCGGCTCTCTTCCTCCGGCGGTCCACTGGGGTCGGCGTCCCATTCTTTAAGGCCAGTCTTCTCGGCTTCGGCGATCTTCTGGCGCGCGGCCCGTAGCACCCCAGCCCAGCTCTGTCCACATCCGGCTCCGCCAAGCCTATGCTGCTCACGTCACCGCGCGTTCCTCCGTGACTCGTCGCCAAGCGCTGGACGCTGCCGCTCTTCTCTGGCCACCAGGGATTGCCGTGCTACGCCACCACATCACCGCTGCCGTCACCGATGTTCCCACCACATCCCCACTTGGAGGAGGGTGCCCCCGCCCTTCTAAGGGCAGGTACCCATTTATCTACTTGCTATTTAACTTTCGAACCGCTGGGTGGGCGGGAGATGGATTAGAACTTCATGGAAGTCATCACCTTGGTAAACACTGGACTTAGTCATCCAGTTCTCTGTTTCATTTCTATCTGGCCCATATCCAATGCTCCCTCTAAGCTGTGGAGTCTTCTGGCAAAAATTCTACTTTGTGAGCTACTGGCATTAAAGTTGTGAGCGAGCAACTTGCCTACTGCATAAATTAGTTTGCTCTGGAGTCACCCTTCCTGAGCTAAGACATAAATGTGTGAGCTGGAGGCTAAAAAACTGTGAGCTAGCTCACACTAACTCAGCTTGGAGGGAACACTGCCCATATCCATCTTGACTTCCAAAGTTCTCTTTCTGCTCATGTCTTTTATTTATAGTCAACTTTATACCCCGCCCTCCCCACAATAGTCTCAAGGCGGCTTCCAACAGCAAATGCAACAATACAGAATAAAAACAAAAAGAATACAGAATGAGAACACAGCATTTAAAACAGTACATTACAAAATATCAGAATACTGGTGGCAGTTAAAAATCAAACAAATAAAGTGCTTTCCAACAAAGTGCTTCAATGTTATTCCACATAAAGTGTTTAGATGTTATTCTGCTCGTTCTTAAGGCAGCTGCTTGATGTTAATGTTACGGGCTGTGCACTAGGGCAGCGGGGGCGGCCCCTAATTGTATGCCTGGTGGAAGCGCTCCATCTTGCAGGCCCTGCGGAACTGTGAGAGGTCCCGCAGGGCCCTGATCTCCTCCGGGAGCTCGTTCCACCAGGTAGGGGCCGTCACCGAAAAGGCCCTGGCCTTAGTAGCAGCTAGCCTGGCCTCCCTTTTCGGTGACATTTAATGTATATCGTGACTTTCTCTGTCCTGTCCATCTCCTGCTAAGATAAAGATAAACCTTGATAACCTTGTTGTATGCCGCTCTGAGCCCTACTTGTATGGAAGGGTCGCCTATTAAATCTAATTTAATAAATGAATGAATGAATGAATGAATGAATGATGAGACTGCAAGAGGTGGGTGGGAATTGAGTTAACTATTCTGGAATTAAATCCTGCTTAATTGCTGTGGAGAATTATTGAATGCTGTGGACGTTATTAGTTGCCTACTGCACTTTGATTTCTAACTTGGACATGGGGATAAATTCAGTTTTGGTAGACTTCTCAGCAGCCTTTGATATTCCTGGGATATGATATTTTATTGCTGGGCCACAACATCCAATTGGATTAGACCACCAGTGGGTTTTGTTCTCTTTTCTTAAAGCCAAGGTTTCACAGAGGACAGTGAGCGGTAAAAAAGGCTCAGTTCTGTTATAATATCTATATTTCACAATACTTTGTGGTGGTATCTAACAAAGGGAGCTTTGAGTCTTGAATGTTTATACCCTGAAAATCTTGTTGGTCTCTAAGTTACTGCTGCTGGACTCGAATCTAAGTGTTCTACTGTAGACCAACATGTCTACCCTCTGAAACTACATTTCATTTATCTCTATGGTGGAAGGAGGAGGAGGAGATTGGATTTATACCTCCCCCTTCACTACCCAAAGAAGTCTTAGAATGGTTTACAATCTCCTTTCCCTTCCCCTCTCCACAACAGACATCCTGTGAGGTAGGTGGGGCTGAGAGAGCTCTTTGAAAACTGCTCTTGAGAGAACGGCTCTGAGAGAACTGTGGCTTGCCCAAGGTCACCCAGCAGCTGCACGTGGAGGAATGGGGAATCAAACCCCGTTCTCCCAGATTAGACTCCGCGCTCCTAACCACTACACCAAACTGGCTATCTATATGATTTAACATTTTGATTACTAGTAACCTGCCTCTCCGGAATCTGCACAAAATGGCAGATTGTGAATTAGTGTGAATCAAGCAGTGTAGATATTCGGTGCTCCATTTGCTAGGCCAGGAGGGGAGAATTACAGATGTTGCCTTGAGACCATGGGAGGAAGGGTGGTATTTAAAAAGTGAGAGATTAAATAAATAGATAATGTGGCCAGGAAGAGCCCCCTCATGAGTCTCACCGCCTCAGTGAAGGCGCAAGGCAACCTTACGCAAACAGCCCTCCGTCAGTCTCATTCCCCTCCCTCAAATCTCCAATATGCAGTTGATAATAAGAGCCCCATTTAGAGGGTTTCTGGGAAGATTACTGAGAAAAGTACTAAGAACCCTTAAAAAATGCTACATAAACACTATTATCCAGGAAGTCAGCCGTGTTGGTCTGAAGCAGTAGAACAAATTTAGAGTCCCGTGGTACCTTTAAGACCAACAAAGGTTTATTCAAGGTATGAGCTTTTGTGCGCACGCACACTTTTTCAAGTACATTCCAAGTACAACTCATTTTGTTAGTCTTTAAGGTGCTACTGGACTCTTGCTCACTAGATCCTGTGGCAGCGAATTCCACATTTTAATCACTCTCTGTGTAAAGAAGAACAAGATGTTGTGATTGCCACTGGGTGAAAAAATAACCAGAAAAATTTAGAACAGGTTCAGTTGGCAGACTTCATACTAAATGGAACCTCCATGTTCAGAGGCAGTTCACCTCTCAACAGCCGTTCCAATGGGAAAGGGGGGAAGATAAAAAACCAGGAGATGGCTGTTGCCTTCATGCCCTGCTTCACAGACCAGCTCTTTCCACCCCCAAACAGAAGCACCCCCCCCCCCAACACACACACACTCTCCCACTGAATTTGTGGGACTCACATTTGTGGGACTCAGTGCCACAAGACTTAGAAGTAACCATTACCTTAGATGGCTTTTTTAAAACAAAAAAATAGATTCATAGAGGGTCTTAATCCAGTCTTAACCAGGATAGCTAAATAGAGTCTCTGTGCTCTAGGGCTACCAACCTCCAGGGGGTACCTGGAGGTCTCTCGCTATTACAATTGATCTCCCGACAACCAAGATCAGTTCCCCTGGAGAAATAACTGTTTTGGGGGTGGATTCTATGGCTCCTTCCTCTCCCCAAACCCCAACTCCCCAGGGGCCACACCCCCCCCCAGAACCTCCAGGTTTTTCCCAAACCAGAGCTGGCAGCCCTCCTTCTGATGTGATTCTATCCCATCTTCGGGCTTTGTCAAGAAAAATTTTAAAGGGGAGGGGAGGAGTATATACTTCCCTGTGGGATCATCATTGAAAGATGCGGGGATAACTTTTAAAAACAGAAGCAAAAACATTATAGCTTGCATCGCCATCTGAACTACACTTCCCAGAAACCCCCAGGCAAACACCCACCCACGCCCCCTGTTTATTCCTTCGCTCCTTCCCCTCGCCTCCTGCAAACTGCGGTCTTCAGTGGAAGAGTACCACAGAAACTACATTTCCCAGACGCCTCATTAATCCTCCCAGCAACCTTTTCCGTCGCAAGCCGGCCGCTCAGCCGCTCAGGCTTCTGGGAAACGAAGTCCCTGCTACTCTCATTTCGCCACCGTTTCAACAAGAGGGTCAGAGAAACTGAACGACAATTCCCAGCGCGCCTTTCAGGCGGGGTGACCTGGGAGAGAGGCGGCGGCGCAGCCATTTTGTTTTGACTGAGCGCTTAAGATGGCGGCGAGGGGAAAAGGCTGAAGGTTGCTGCAGCTGTAGCGGCACCAGCTGTCTCCAGGAAAGGGAGGGAGAGACTTTGTTGCTAGGCGACCGCCTAATAACCCCCGGCCCTCGAAGCCTTGGTGTGTTGGCGCGCAGGCGCCTCCTCCTGGCCCCCTTTTGCAGAGGGAAGGCAGGGGGAGCCACTGGTGGTCTATGGGAGGGAGGCGGCCGCCGTGGCGCGCACTGTCACCATGGATCTCCGCGTGGCTGTCTACAATGCGGCCCGAGAAGGGAAGCTGAAGCTGCTCCAGAAGCTACTGGGCAGCAGGAGCCGCGAGGAGCTGGAAGAGCTGACGGCAGGGCCTGGTGGGGGAGAAGGCTCAGGAGGCACCCCACTGTTGATTGCCGCCCGCCACGGCCACCGAGAAGTCGTGGAGTACCTGCTGGATCACTGTGGCGCCCGGGTGGAAGTGGGTGGCTCGGTCAACTTTGATGGCGAGACTATTGAGGGGGCGCCGCCCCTGTGGGCCGCTTCCGCCGCCGGGCACCTGCACGTGGTCCGTAGCCTGCTGGAGCGTGGGGCGTCCGTGAACCAGACGACGCTGACCAATTCGACGCCGCTGCGGGCGGCCTGCTTCGACGGGCATCTGGAGATTGTGCGCTATTTGGTGGGGGAGCGGGGGGCTGACCTGGAGGTGGCCAACCGCCACGGCCACACCTGCCTGATGATCTCTTGCTACAAGGGGCACTCGGAGATCGCCCGCTACTTGCTGGAGCGAGGGGCGGACGTGAATCGCCGCAGCGTCAAAGGGAACACCGCTCTGCATGACTGTGCCGAATCCGGGAGCCTGGAGATCCTGAAGCTCTTGCTCGACTCGAAGGCCCGCATGGAGAAGGATGGCTATGGGATGACCCCGCTGTTGGCGGCCAGTGTGACGGGCCACACGAATATTGTGGAATACCTCATAGAAGGAGCACTTCAGGAGGAGGAGGAGCTGGTGGGGAAGAGGGGAATGAACGAGTCTGGTTGCAGCGGGGCGGGGTGTGAAGAAGACCAGGAAGCCGCCTTGTCCTCTCCCCCCAGCAATGGGCAACCCGAGGTTTACTGCACTCGGGAGGCTGCCGTGGAAGCACTTGAACTGCTGGGAGCCACCTTTGTGGACAAGAAGCGTGATCTTCTCGGGGCTCTCAAGCACTGGCGCCGGGCTATGGCCCTCCGCCACCAGAGCGGGTGTTACCTCGCCAAACCTGAGCCGCGGCAGTTGGTCCTGGCGTATGACTATTCCCGGGAAGTGAGCACTATGGAGGAGCTTGATTCCTTGGTGACCGACCCAGACGAAATGCGGATGCAAGCACTGTTGATCCGGGAGCGTATCCTCGGGCCGTCTCACCCAGATACCTCTTACTACATTCGCTACCGAGGGGCCGTCTACGCGGATTCAGGGAACTTTGAGCGCTGCATCAACCTGTGGAAGTATGCCTTGGAAATGCAGCAGGGCAACTTGGAGCCGCTGAGCCCCATGACGGCGAGCAGTTTCCTCTCCTTTGCCGAGTTGTTCTCTTACGTCCTTCAGGACCGTTCCAAAGGTACCTTGGCGACCCAGCTAGGTTTTTCTGACCTCATGGGGGTTCTGGGCAAGGGAGTCCGTGAGGTCGAGAGGGCCTTGCTGCACCGGAAAGATCCCATTGCGGACTCTGTGCAGTTCACGAAGGCGCTGGCGATCATCCTCCACTTAGTGTTCTTGCTGGAGAAAGTGGAATGCTCTCCGGAGCAGGAACACCAGAAGCGCCAGACCATCTACCGCTTGCTCAAGTGCAACCCACGGGGCAAAAACGGCTTCACCCCTCTGCACATGGCGGTGGACAAGGAGACCACCAATGTCGGCCGCTACCCCGTGGGGAAGTTCCCCTCCCTCCATGTGGTGAACCTCCTGCTGGAGTGTGGGGCCGACCCGGACAGCCGCGACTACGACAACAACACGCCCTTGCACGTGGCTGCCCGGAACAACTGCCCACTCATCATGAGCGCCCTGATGGAGGCGGGAGCCCACATGGACGCTACCAACGCCTTCAAGCAGACGGCGTACGAGCTTCTGGATGAGAAGCTCCTCACCAAGGCCATGATGCAGCCCTTCAACTACATCACCTTACAGTGCCTTGCCGCCCGAGCCCTGGACAAGCACAAGATCCCCTACAAGGGTTTCATCCCAGAAGAGCTGGAGGCCTTCATCGAACTCCACTAAGGGTGGAAAGGCTGTATCTTATTTGCTGCCACTGTGCCCCCCCCCCCTAGATCTCAGTGGCCAGGTGGGAAGCAACGGGGAGGGGGGGGGAACGCAGTCTTCCTGGGTGCTGGGTTCTGAAAGCTTTTGTTTGCACTGGGCCAGGGAAGTGAATGATTCGAGCCTTTAGCCACCCACGTTGCGGGGGGGAGTCCCAAGTGAGGTGACAGAGGGGGCAAGTTCCTGGTTTCCGCTTCCCCTTTATTGCCAACTGAATATTTAGGAGCCCGGAGTGGTTTGCCTTTGTCACCCGCTCTCTGAAAGTCAGCCTGCTTTACCAGCTTTGGAGTTGCCGTTGTCTGCAAGCCCTTCCTCTCCTGTTCCTGGAGCACACGAGGCCCGCTCACAGGGGACTGGATCCCCCAGTCTTAAGTCGCTCGTCCTTTGGGGTTTGGCTCGTACACTGGAGAGCCGGCTGCCGAATGCTCCGCAGAGAGTGCTTGCCAGAGTCGCTTGCTTGCACAGTTTACAAAGCTGCGTTTTTGGTCAGGGTTGGTTGTGTTCTGTTTTTTTTTTTTTTCCCCCTTCTGTTTTGTGGCCGATGTAAGACTTCTGCCGGAGTTTTTTTCAAGACAGGCTTTCTTTCTTTGCAATCAAGCACCATCGCTATCCCAGGCTGCTAAAGATTCCCTGTGCTCTGGGGTTAGGGTTCCTCTCCCGGGAGGAAGATGGGGAGAATCTGGTTATATCCGCAGGCAAGAATTGGCCTCTTTTGCCCACTGCATGAAGTGCTGTGTTCGCAGGGTGCAAAGAGAATGTGTTGGGGGGGGTCATGGCTTGGGCGCATCGTCGTCCTCATTTTAGCCCAGAGTAGTCCCAGGTTTGGGAGCTTGCAGGGGAATATACCTGCCTTGGTGGATTGTGCGCCTACTACATTTTGGCTGTGGATGCTTTCTCTTTTGCATGGCTGTTGAGGGTGATGCAGGGGAGGGGAGTGCTGCTTTAAGATATCAGGAAACAGAAGTGCCAAAGAAAAGTGTGTGTGTTGTGTACACACTCCATACTTGACAGCTGTCTTCCCCCCTCCCCACCCCACATTTTTGAAATCCCGAGATTGCAGTAAAACCGGAGTATATTACTGAGCCTCCACGGTTTGGGGAGGATTGCCTTTGAGAGCCAACGTGGAGAAATGCTCGGACTAGGATTGGGGAGACCCAAGTTCCAATCCCCACTCAGTTTATCGGGTGACCTTGGGCCGGTCACTTTCTCTCCGCCTAGCCTACCTCTCAGAGTTGTTGTAAGGAGGAAACTGAAGGGAGGAGAGCCACAGAGCTCCTTGGAGGGAGGGAGAGAGGAATTCAAACTGATGGAGCATCGAGAGAGCTTTTATTTGAAAGGCCACACGTCCGAAGTATAGGAGTGCTGGAAGGTCAACTGAAGTCCTGTTCTCAGATCTGCTGGGAAGGATTTGTGGGTGTGCTTTGGATTTAGGCTGTATCTGGAAAGAAGGGGAGGAAGGAGGGGGAGCTGTGAGGGAGGGGGGCACAGATGCTGAGAGAATCCCCTTCCGGTGTCTGCATCCAAGCCAGAGGCAGACTTGAGGGCCAGAGACAGGCATGGCCCCGAGGAGGCGCAGGGATGGCCCGCACGGTCTGCAGCTGGTCAGAGAACTTGCCAGGGACTGCCAGGGGCTTTCGAGCTGTGGCTAGTTTCTGTTGCAACTGAGAAGTAAGAACTCCAAAAAAAAAAGAGCCGGGGGGGGGGGGGGAGACGGGGGATGGGGGGGAGAGGGGGAGCCAGAAATATGGGGGGAAATTGAAAGAGGTGCAAAACTCTGTTGTTTTAAAATCAGATTGAAACAGACCACTTCCAGAGCTGAAAACGCATCATGCACAGCTTGGCGCCGTAACGCGGAAAACTGTCCATTCACAAAGCGAAATGTTGACATATTTGTGAAACCTAAAAGGGTTTGTTTTATTCAGTCAAGAATTACAGTCGCACGCCAGCACTGGAAGTGGGTCTTAAGTATGTCGTGAGATGTAATAAATGGTAAAATTCCTGCTTTGCAAAAAAAAGTATGTGTTCGATTGTGACAGTTAGAACCAGTGTTCCTTCTAAGCTGAGTTATTGTGAGCTAGCTCCCAGCTTTTTAGCCTCCGGATCACACATTTTTGTCTTCGCTCAGGAAGGACAGCTCCAGAGCAAACTAATTGATGCAGCAGCCAAAATCGCTCGCTCACAGCTTTACTGCCAGTAGCTCACAAAGTTGAATTTTTGCTCACGAGACTCCATAGCTTAGAGGGAGCATTGGTTAGAACTACAGGGGCAAGTTAGAAATAGGATTTGGCCGGTATTGTAGTAAACCAGGGTCTCCCGACCTGCGGGCTCCTTTGGAATTCTGACACAGCACGGTGGCCATTCAGCCACAAAACGGCTGCCACAAAACGACCACCAGGGTGGTGGCAGCGGCTGCCAAAGCAACATTTGTCAAAAATCTGCACAGCCTATCAGATCTCCAGCGGCTTGGCAGAGGCCCCACCTGGCTCTGTACACCTGCTAAGAACACACTTGGTGGGCACCAGCAGAGGGGTTGGGGGGTGGCACAGTGTACATGGGCATCAAATTGGGGGTTCCTGTAGTAGGCAGCTCTTAGATCCATTTTAAAAACCGTCTTTGCTTCGGACAGCCAGATTTCACCAGAAACAATACAAACGTCTTCAGTGTCTTCTTACCAAGTGTGACCATGGGAATCTGCCAGAAGTGGGAATCCCTCTTTCAGACTGCTTTCGGGGAGGGGTGGGGGGAGCACAGGGCTTCCTTCCATTACCAAATAGCCGACAGTGTTAGGGACTGTTGGTAAATCCAGCCACTAACTTTAAAACGGCACCTCTAACATGGCATCTTCCTCATACACAGCATCGCAATTGTGGACTAAATCTGCCACATTAAACACTCATTATTGTTAAAAAATTAAGTGCATCTCCTTAGTTTCTTTCTTGAATCAGAGCTCATTTTCAAAAGATCAGCAGCATCCCATTCCGAACTGTCCAAAGGACTTCAGAGCCCTGAAGTGTTGGACAGACAGAAAGCAGCTAGTTCCCCTCATTTAGAGGCTCACCTGTTTCTTAAATTCATCGTGTATATTTCTGTTTTTCTTGCAAAAAATGCAGAAGGTGGAGGATTGTGAAGCAGGCAGAAGTCTTTAAGAATGCTGTGTGTTGACTGTAGGGATTCTAATTACCTTTTCTCCTTTTTTTTTTGGTGCCGTCAAGTCACACCTGATGTGTCTGGCAAGCCCTTGGGGTTGCCAAGGCAAGAGATATTCAGAGGCGGCTTGCCATTGCTTGCCTCTGCGCAGCAAGCCTGGGCTTCCACCCTGCTTAGCTAGCCTGGACCATCCAGGTCAGGGCAATTATCTAATATAGTAAAAAGGTAAAGGTTCCCTTGCTCGAAAGCCAGTCGAATCCGACTCAAGGGTTGCGGTGCTCATCTCCGTTTCCAAGCTGAAGAGCCAGCGCTGTCCGAAGACATTTCCATGGCCATGTGGCCAGCATGACTAAACACCAAGGCGCATGGAACGCTGTTCCCTTCCCACCGAAGTGGTCCCTATTTATCTACTTGCAATTTCTTGCTTTCGAACTGCTAGGTTGGCAGGAGCTGGAACTAGAGACGGGAGCTCACTCCGTCATGCGGCAACTCAGGTCTCGAACTGCTGAACTACCGACCTTCCACAGCCTGCAGTTCAGCATCTTAACCACTTATAGTAGATAGTTATTACATACTGCAGGGAAGCCGTTTGAAAGGCAGGTAAAATGATATGGCCTTTAAAAAGCATTTCCCTCCCCTCCCCTCCCCTCCCCTCCCCCTTTCAGTTTGTCTGCAAGCTTCGATGGGAAAAATGAAAATAGGTTCTTGGAAAATGTGCTCCCACCACCCCAATTTCTGAGGTGTGTTTGGTCGTCCCCCCCCCCCCCCAGGTATCTTTGGATCTCTAGTGACAGTGGTGTCGCTCAGCCATAATCAGTGCTGGGGATCTGTACGTGGCCTATGGGGCTTTCTTGGCCCCTTCGCACATTATAAAGTCTATACATCGGATGCCTGCTCTGTTAACAGGTTTGCCTTCGGAGTCCGTGCTCAGAACTCAGTTCCCCGGAATGTGGCATCTTGCCTTCCCCTCCATTCTAGTTTCCTGACCTGAATCTGCCCCAGGGAGCGGGTGCTTGCCCCTCCCCCTGTAGAACTGGAGAGCCAGTTTTGTGTAGTGGTTAAATGCGTGGACTCTAATCTGGGAGAACTGGGGTTGATTCCCCACTCCTCCACTCGCACCTGCTGGATGACCTTGGGCAAGCCACAGTTCTGGCACAGCTGTCCTTGAAAAAGGGCAGTTTCTGCCAGAGCTCTCTCAGCCCCACCTACCGCACAGGGTGTCTGTTGTGGGGAGGGGAAGGGGAAGGAGTTTGTAAGCCGCTCTGAGACTCCTTTGGGTAGTGAAGGGCGAGGTATAAATCCAATCTCTTCTCTTTCTTTATGTGTTGCCATCAGTACATGTCAGCTTCCCCCAATGAGTAAATAGCAGCTCCGCTGGGCAGTCTCAGTGCAGGAAAGTGGTGCAGGGAGGAAAAGCCGAAGCCCTTTCTCCCCTACTGCGCCAAGGTCCTGTCTGAATCTGGTCCCTGTGCATTTGAGAACCAGGTGCAAGTTTGATCCAGATTTGTGGTGGTGAGCATGTGTCACCCATGTGGACACACCATGTGAACTGGCCCTCATTTCTGGTATGTTTGGGATAGTCTAGCTCTGGGCAGGGGGACAGTTTTGCCTAGCTGTACACACTGAGCTGCGGTGGCTCAAGTGGTTAAGACGCTGAACTGCAGGCTGTCGAAGGTCAGTACTTCAGCAGTTTGAGACCTGAGTTGCCGCATGATGGAGTGAGCTCCCGTCTCTAGTTCCAGCTCCTGCCAACCCAGCAGTTCAAAAGCAAGAAATTGCAAGTAGATAAATAGGTACCACTTCGGTGGGAAGGTAACAGCATTCCGTGCGCCTCAGCGTTTAGTCATGCCGGCCACATGACCACGGAAAACGTCTTCGGGCAGTGCTGGCTCTTCGGCTTTGAAACAGAGATGAGCATCGACTGTCTTTCGAGCAAAGGAACCTTTACCTTTACACACTGATCATCCCCAGAGAGGCCTTTGGCCTCTTTATAGAGCTTCGACACGTGCATGGTGCTCGTTTTCATATGGGGATATTAAGGAAATTCCTTCCTTTACCATCAGAAGGGCAAAGAAGGTCTGATTTGAATTAGAAGCCGTTTGTTGAGTGGTTGAGATTTGGACCTGTCCTTGAGTGGGGTCTCTGAGGGTGGAGTCAGATGAATCCTTTCTCCCAGGATGCTTTGGGAAAAGATCCATCCGGTCTACCCATTGGTCAAAGGGGTGTTTGGAACAGTGAAGTCCCTCGTGTGCTCAGTCGCCGGATTCCACTTTGGCATCACAGCCTTGTTGTCCCCAAACTCAGCATACATGCGGATCAAGGCTTTGTCTGAATCCAGCTTTGGTGCCCTGTTTCTTCAGCCTCTTTATAGAGCTTCGACACGTGTGTGGTGCTAGTTTTCATACGGGGATATTAGGGAAATTCTCTTCCTTCCTTTACCATCAGAGGGGCAAAGCAAGTCTGATCTGAATCAGAAGCTGTTTCAAGAGGCCACCCTGCGTAAACAGGGTAAATAATTGGGGCATATTGGGGGGGGGGACGAAACTGACCACTGTTTATTCCTCCCATGCTGAAGGCGCAGGGCGGGGTCCCCACCGATGTTCCCTCTAAGCTGAGTTAGTGTGAGCTATCTCAGTTTGTTAGCCTCTTGCTCATACATTTTTGTCTTTGCTCAGGGAGGATGGTTCCAGAGCAAACCAATTTATGCAGCAGCCAAGTCTCTCGCTTACCACTTTAGTGCCAGTAGCTCATAAAGTAGAATTTTTGCTCACAAGACTCCACGGCTTAGAGGGGGCACTGCTCCCCCCCTTTCTGAGCCTGCAGGGACCTTTGGAATTTTGACACAGAGCAGTGGGCACAGCCCCAAAACAGAGTCTGCGGGAAGCAAAGCCAGCCTTACGACGGCTGCCGCAGCTCGCCCTCAATCACAGAGTGAAGATCCTCGTGCTGTGGTGGCAGCCGCTTCCAAAGCAACCTTTTAAAAAAATCTTGCATGCTCAATCAAATTTCCAGTGGCCCATCTTGCTGGGCAGAAGCCCCACCAGGC